CCAGCACAACCTATCGCCGCAGGAGTCACGTCACCGTTATCCTCCCGCCCAATCCCACCCCGTTTGTTATAACCTCTGTCCCCAAGACCTCTAATGCGACATTCCCAGGCCTTACTTTTAATTTAGTCTGACTACGAACAAGTGATACCTGTCTGGAAATTTACGAGTACAACTCGATTTTCCGAAGATCTTCTTTCTTTTTATCATATGTATTTATATGTAGATCAGAGGGGGTATGAATTCCGAGCGGTAAAATGAAGAAAAGAAGTGGTTATTCAGAAAATTCAAGGTGTACTTGTGAATTTTCGAGCTGGTGACACCTGCTCTTCATCAGACGAAGTAAAAGAAAGTGAGAGAGTAAGGTTACTCTAGACAGTTTAAGCGAACAGAACAGCTAAACCAGTGGCACATGAGGTAAATCATCGTTCGTTTTTGGGCGGCGTGCGGTTGGAAGGGGGAGGGCGGATGGTGGGTCGGTAGACGTTCAGGTGACTGGCTTAGCGATCGTTGATTTATGATCAGGACGGGGCCCGGTAAGTCTTCATCTTAAGCCACCGTATTTTTCGTTAAAATTAACGTGCTGGTTGATACTGCCCGACTTTAGGTACCAAGCCTCGAGAAATTCTCGCGCTCGTTTTGTGATGGCCATAGCGACGAGTTTAGTGTCATCGTAAGTAAATTTATGATCGCACACGATTACGTGTGCGAAGACGAGGGACAGGGGGTCCTTGCTACGGACAGCTAATTGATGTTCCACGATGCGGGTACCCAGGAGCCGGATCCACTCCGTCATATGTCTGAGGTCGCTAAGCAAAAGTCTGCTATTACTCAAGTACGAGCCTCAAGGCACTTACGGGACAAGTATACGCCCTAATCATATAGATCGGATGAACATCCCATTTCCATCATATTCACGATCACAACAAGCAAAGCAGCGAGGCCATGGTGCAAGGGTAGAGTGCTAAAGTCTATGACCAAAGGTCACGGATTCGAATCTCGGGGGTTCTGATACTTGAGATTTGTCAAGTCAAGTCAAGTCAAGTTTATTAAAGGAAGTATAGGCAAACGCATTTGAACTCCCTATTGGTACATAGTATTTAAGAAATACATCGATACAGCTGAACATTTCAAAGAAGTCGTTGATACAATTGTAGGCGGCTACCCGCTTGTTTCAAGTAATACAATCACATGTGGTGATGTCAGTTAACACTAACCAGCAGTGTAACTGAGCAAGCAGAGCAGACAGTGAAAAAACTCCTAAGGCATGGCTCATAATTCAAAATGGAA